AGGCAGTCTGGGCTCCCTGCCTGCTGCAGCCCCAAATCATTTAAAGCTGCAATCTGCAAATCACATGTGGCTCTCAGCTCCTGGCGGGGGAAGAGACTTGCACTGCTCCCATCCTCCAGGTCAATCTCCCAGCTCTTATTGGCTGGTTCTTTCTGGCCAATAGGAGCTGAGGATTGGGCTGGGGGTGGAGAGATTGCATGAAGCTTCCCCCCTCCCTGCAGAGCAGAGACACCCGCAGAGTGAGCTTTAAACCATGCAGCTATGTGCCTGAGGGTCCCAGCAGGGTGGTCTGCGGGCCGGATCTGGTGGCTTGGTGGGCCGGATCTGGCCCCCAGGCCATATTTTGCCCGGCTCTGGCCTAAATCCTTGTATAATATCAGACCTCTCAGAATTCGAAAGAGCCATGCCCCATAATCAGGGAGAACTGCTCCCTGGGCACCGTTGCCCTTAATGGGACACACTACTCCATCACCCTTCTGTTGCATCTCTTTCAAATCAGACAGAACAGTGGCCAGCTGACTCTCCTGGGCATGACCAGGTGCGTAGCCGCTAATCTAGACTGGCAAGTTTTTCCGCAAAAGCAACTGCTTTTGCAGAAAAACTTGCCAGCTGTCTACACTGGCCGCTTGAATTTCCACAAGAACACTGACGATCTCATGTAAGAAATCAGTGCTTCTTGAGGAAATACTATGCTGCTCCCTTTCCGGCAAAAGTCCTGTTGCACAAAAGGGCCAGTGTAGACAGCTCAGATTTGTTTTCCGCAAAAAAGCCCCAATCGTGAAAATGGCAATCGGGGCTTTCTTGCTCAAAACCCCGTCTAGATTGGCACGGACGCTTTTCCTCAAAAAATGCTTTTGTGGAAAAGCGTCCGTGCCAATCTATACGCTCTTTTCCGCAAATGCTTTTAACGGAAAACTTTTCCGTTAAAAGCATTTGCGGAAAATCGTGCCAATCTAGACATAGCCGATGGGTTTTATTTCACCCTTCTCTGCTAACTACAAACGTGAAGTGCTGCACTCAGCAATGCTATGGGGATTTATGCCTTTCCCTGGAGGAATTTGGGAGCACAAAGCAATGCAGAGCTTAAGAAGGAAACATAAATACATGAGGTTAGGTCCTGAGCTAGTGAGAGTCAGGACTGTTCCGTCAGAGTCAACAGAGTGAAGCTGATTTGTACCGGCTGTGGCCCAGTATGCTCCTCTGTGAATTTTTTCATATGAAACACAGAAGATTTGAGCCCATTTTCCTCACAAAATTTAGTTCACAATGTAAAAGGAAAAGAATGATCCATGGAAAGAAAAAACACGATACCTACTCCGCCACCATTGGAGATGATCAAATCCAGAGCCAAGCTTTGTGGCAGGGACCAACCTCTGCTCTGGGCTGAACCAAAACCTTGTATCTAAATCTACCTACATATAGGGCTTTCTGGTTTCAGATTTGAAATTTTCATGTAGGGGCCCTTTTCTATCCTTCTCTACTCATTTTTTCTGGGTACTTCTTGAGCCCCTCCACTATTCTGTCTTCACACAGAAAAATATATGTGACAGTTGATTTGGCATCATCTTCTGAAAATTTCATATTCTAGACAATGGATTTTGTTTCTTCCTCACTTCACATTTCTTTCTGATCCATACAGGCTGAACCTCTCTAATCCAGCACTTTCTGATCTGTGGTCTGGCATGATTTTAGTTAGCCAGATGTCTATTTTATCATAGGTGTGGCCAACTTTCCTGCGGTCCCATAAAGTTTCTTTACAGCCCCCATCCTGGCTCTCAGTGTTCTGTGCTGTTATTTAGCTCTAATTTACCCCTAAATGTCCTCTAAGAGCCTACTAAGCGGTGGAAGTGTTGGTCATGCCACTAGACAATACTGACCTCCTGTGGTTCAGCACCAGTCAGGTCCTGAGGGTGTCGGACACGAGAGGTTCAGCCTGTACTAGCTCAACCTTTTCCACTTGATTGACACATTTATCCTCTCAGAACTCGAAGGTGCAGAGAGTGTTGGTGATTTGCCCAAGTTCACACACAGGAAGTCTGCCAGGCCAATACAGAAGGCTCTGCAGATGGCAGGAAAGAAGTGGGGAGATGGGTGTCCTGATTCAAAGGCCTAACCCCTGCTAGCTAGTCACTTGTCAGTTATTCCTTCTGCTGCTTTAACAGCCCTAGGGCTGGAGCTCCAATCTCTATTTGTAGACTCATTCTCTACTCTCCATGAGACCACACAACCCTTCTATCCTTACTCTGCTCTCAGCTGCCCCATTCCTCTGAACTGCCAAGTCCTGGAACAATTTAAGCATGCATAGATTTACTCCTCACCTCAAGCTGGACGGTCAAACATGGAGGCAACATGGGATTGGGGGACTGGATGCCCCTTTTACAGCATAGGAGCTGACACACTGTTAGTGGACTGCCTCTCAGTTCTCCCTCCCCTTGGCTCCCCTTAGCCCCAAACCTCCTCAGTTGACAACTCCCCTCCCTTTTCTTGCAATAGGAACTGGAGACCAGTGGCCAAGACTGGGCCAAGTTATGAAATTTTGCAAACTACACACTATTCATGTGAAGAAAAATTTTAACAAAAATCTGCCAACATATGGAGGGGTAGTAAATTGTACTCCATGTGTGGGCATGTAATTTCAGGTAATAGCAGCAGCTGCCAATTCTCCCTGGTGATTTTTTCTTGTTTGACAATAATACTCTTCTATTTAAAAAAAAAATTGAAATAAGCCTACGGGAATATCAGATCTCTGCTTCCTCTAATGGGTTTTATACAGAGCTTATTTTACGTTACAGTATTTGCTAAAATAGCCATTTTTGGTAAAGTGTTATTTATTGGTGTTTCAAAGACTCACTCAATGAGCCAAGAGAAACAAACTACACTATGAAATTGACTACATACAAAATGCTTTCAAATTTATAAACAAACTGAAAAATAAAGAAAAATATTTCTTCTCTGATCTCTTCCAGTTAGAGTGTTGTTAGATATAACTTGTAACAAATAGTAGGTTAAAAAATTGTAGCCAGAGGGAGGTAGAATTGGGTTAATTTTCATACCATCACTCAACAGTTCTTGAGCCCGAGAGAGAGAGTGTAATCCCGCTGAGATAATGCTTGTGGACAGACTTCAGTGTCTGAGCTGATCCCCTTTTTGTTGAACATTCGGCTGAACTTCATTTCATAGATTCCCAGGCCAAGAAAGACCACAGTGTTCATCTACTGTGACCTTCTGTATAGCACAGTTCAGAGACCATCTCCAAAATAATTTCTAGAGCAGAGTTTTTAGAAACACAGCCAATCTAGATTTGAAAATTGATAGTGCTGGAGAACCCACTACGTCCCTTGGTAAGTTGTTCCAATGGTTAATCAACCTTGCTGTCAAAAATATACAGCTTATTTCCAGTATGAATTTGTCTGTCTACAACTTCTAGCCATTGGATCGCCATACATGTTAGACGTATTAAATCTTTCTCTGCTAGACTGAGGAGCCTAGTTGGACCTCCCTAGTCTGGAACCCTTGGGACCTGACCAGTCCTGAATGAGGAGCTTTGCTGCACCACGGGCAGTCCCCTGCCACTGGCCTCCCAGCCCACCATCCCGCTCTGCTTCTGGCTCCTTGTGGCTCATGCCTGGCCCTGCTACCTTTGGGCTCAGGCTCCAGCCCAGCCCTGCTGATGCTGGGCTCTGGCCCTAGCCCCCCTGTCTCTGGCCCAGCCAGAGCTCCTCAGGGTCAGAGTTCCTGGATGCCACTGTAGCTGGCGCTTCCTGGCTGCTGTGGCTGGAGTTCCTGCCATGCTGCCTGACTCCTCTTCCATGGGGCCCCCAGCCGAGTCGCCAGCCTCTCCTGCCACGCTGCCAACCCCGCTTCCAGACTTCCCTGTACCTGGGCTCTGTGGTCCAGGAACATCTGTGGTCCTACTGAAACATGGATATTGCCAGACTGGAGAGTCACAGTCTAGGGAGGAACAACTTGTCTTAAATATTTGTTCTTCATGTAGCTACTTATAAACTATATTCAGTTCACTCCTTAACCTTCTCTTTGTTTAGCTTAAATAGACTGAGCTCTTCCAGCCCTAGGATTCTATGATTCGATGAATCTGTCACTATAAGGCATGTTTTCTAATCCATTAATAATTCCTGCGGCTCTTCTTTGAAACCTCTCCTCTTCATCAATATCCTTCTTAATTGAGGGGACTCAGTCCTGGATAAGGATGCCAGCAACATTCTAATATAATGCTTAATACAGAAGTAAATAACCTTTCTCCCACTTCTCAGGATCACCATGTTTATGTATCCCAGGATCACATGAGCTCTTTTGCCCACAGCATCACATTGGGAGCTCACATTCAGCCAGGTGTCACTAGGGATGTGAAGGTTTAACCTCACCCTTAACAGGCCTACCAGTTAAGGTTAACCTTTGGTGGGGATGGAAATGCTCCCCACCTCCCGTGGGAAGGGGGCTGCTCCAGTCCCGCAGGGGGCCCACCATGGACAGAGGGGGAGGGCTGCTTCAGCTCAGTGGCAGGCAGGGGGGTCACTCCAGACAGGTTGGCCCCTCCCTCCCGCCCAGCCCATTCCCCCTTTAATCAGTCAACCAGTTAAACAATATGTTTAGTCAGTTAGCCAATTAAATGGGATTTTACATCCCTAGTATCCACCAGGCCCCCTAAATCCTCCCCCATGTGGTAAGTATGGCCTGTGGTGCACTGTGGGCTCAGCTACCTGAGGCACATGGAGAGGCTAAAATTCCAATGGTTATGTTACCCCAGATTTACTGCCTCTATATAAGCACTGGCATGGGTAGGAACCACCTACTCCCATCACCACCAATAGGTATGACATTTATCCCCTGCACGCTGCTACATCTGCCGCCTCTCAACCATTTTAGGCTCCTGCTCATCGTGATCAGTCATGGGCCAGCTGATTGGGCAGGCTGGTCTATTTTACAGTGCAGCAGCTTAACTCACCGCTTGGCTTTGTTCTTCTCTTTGTTTGTTCCTCTAGGGAAAGTCTCTGGCAGGCAAGCGCCTCACAGGCCTGATGCAGTCCTCTTGACAGCCTCAGCCCGACACGCTGTCGCTGACATTCCTGAAGGACCACTGCACTCCACCCCCATGGAGGAAGATTCATTTTGGGGAGAATGGGTCACTGCAAGAGAGGACGCAAATGAGAGTGAGGGCAGACAAAGGAGCGCAAGGTGGAGAGATCAGCTCACCGGAGGTTCCTCTTTTCATAGTTTACATCAACACTTTCTTACGTGTACAGCTTTGTAATGACATTGAGTTCTATAAAAGTACTTGGTTTCCTACTTGGTTTCAAAGGAGCACACTTCATTGTATATGAAAGGTCAACAAGACAGAGGGCTTAGTAGCATATGATGAAAGGAATCAGTCCCAACCATAAACTAGAGACAGAAGAGCTGAGCGAGATCAATATTTACCCATCATCTCTTCTCTCCCTGGTAAATGCCACCACCATCACTGCCACTTGCTCTCTTTCTGGTGATCATCCAAGTCCAATAAATTACCTACCTGAAGCTGCTTCTCCTGCTCAAAAAATGCTTAATCCACATCTCCTGCGGATAGGAGCAATTTCATTGACTATATATTTATTCTTTCCTCTCCTTTTTTAAAACAATGGTTGAAAGGGCACTTTTTAACTCTTCACTTCCTGTCCTTCCAAGAGCATGTAGTATGTCCAAAGATACATGGCTAGATCATCAGCTGAAATCAGTGGAGTGTTTATGATTTCCATGAGCTGAAGGTCTAGTCCATACAATCAGATTCTGATCTCTGTGTAAATCGTCTGCCTTCAGCGGAGTTACTCTGCATGTACAGTAGCACAAATGTGATCAGTGTCTGCCCTGTGGTCACCAGGCAATGTTAGAGCTGTAAAAAGCATACACACCTACGGTAATATGTTTTATATTGTATTTGGTTTCCTATTTATTTCAAGTTTTTGTTACATGCCTATCAGTTTTTTCAATTTAATTCAAAACAGCTTGATCTGAACCACTTTGGGAAAACTCCTAGCCACTCCAAATAGAGAAGGTGAAAACCTGCTATCCTTTATGCAGGTGAAGCTAATTCAATTGACTTCAGCTGGTCACTTAGGAGTTACACCTGAGGGCAAAATTCAGAGAGGAACAGGTTCCTGGTTAAGGTAACACAAGGGTGAAGCAGAAGCATGTTGTGAATAGGTCAGGAATTTTGATTCAGAGGCCACTTTTTGAATAATAATGGGCACTGCTTAGACCTTGCTTTAATTCTCAGACACACCACTCCCCTGGGATGTGCCATTTCTAATAACATTAGAAAAATGAGGATTGGCTGAAACTGCATGTGACCATCATGCCCAAGAGTACAGGCTGAAAAAAGATCCAATACTGTTCTCAGTAGTCTCCGTAAGAGCTGAGAAATGTGTCTTGGGAGGAGGAGGAAGAAAGAACTGAAGTACAGTAATTTATTTGGCTAATAATAAAAGCCATGTATAGTAGCTGCAGAAGTAAAAAGTGACCTGTAGTCACCTGCAACATATTGTGCATATTCAAAACTTTCCAAAACCAATCATTTCCAAATATGATTCAGTTGATTTATGTCACAATAACTGCCTAATAAGTGATGATAGTTTTAAGTTCATGAACTAGCAAGTGGTTCAGAATAAGTACGTCTGTTGCCTTTCTTCACTCACACCCAGCTAACATGTCTTTGGTACACAAGGTAGAAACTTCTGAAAGGGTTCTAATCCTGCATTCCTACTCAGGCAGAGCTATCTAAGCCACCTATGTACAATACATGCAGATGCACTAGCATTTAAGCTCTATGCATATTCAAAACTAGGGTATCACAATTTCTATCAGGAAAAAAAAGACTGGTCCTCTTCTCCCTTCCCTCTGAAATGAAATGCTGCCCATGGGCACCTTATTGCTTACAGGAAACTCATGGTATGTTTCAGGATACATCAACGGATGTTCTGCCTAAGAGAGTGCAGGATCAGGCCCTTTGCCTGTATGGATACACAGTACAGCTTTGAGAGGTGATATGTGCTATCTTTTGCTATATTATCCTAAATAGTATGTTAACCTACAGCCTCAAACTAAACTCTTCCCTTTTGTATACCAAAACCACAGCTGAGTCCCAGGATTGCAGAACTACTACATCAGGGCATGCACACATACATGTTAAGATGATCTCATGGCCCAAAGTGACATTGGTCACCTTCAAGATATTACTTTGTCCATCCCCACTGGACCAGATTTTCTGTCCTTTCCTGCACCCAGCCTCTGGTAATAATGGGGCCGTCTGCACAGCCAGCCCAGTTGGGTATCCATAAGCACTCGTAACAGTTTGAGATTGTGATGGCTGGCCTCCCAAAGGTATTTTTCTGTGTAAAGCACAGTGGCACATGTCACTGGAGTTTTATAAAACAATTCCTGCTTCCACCCCAGGCTATTTTACTGTTGCATGAACGCTGCTGTGGGCAGAGGCTTTTCAACCCTGTCAGCTTCGCTGATAAGGAGAGATTCTTATAAAATTCCAAGTCAGGCTGCGCAGAGTGATCACGAGCAGGGTGTGTATATGAAAAGTAAAGCATCTGGTAGTGTGTTCTGTGAGGGGCAGGCAGGTGGGCTGTGCGCACGCCGAATGTTAGGGGGAGAATGTAGCTGCTTTCAGGCAGGTAAAAACAGTTATTCACACTGAACTCCTAGCCCCAAACTGAGCTGTTGCTCTGCTCTGGAATGCTGGGTTCTGAAGGAGTGTACAGCTGGAGCAACTGAGCAAAGGTGCTCTGAGCTATTCTTTCCCCACAGGACACATGCAAGCAGAATGCCTCATGGGGCTTGTAAGGAGTATGCTATATTGCTCCTTACCCATTGGTGCTACCTCATGCTGGCAGGTGTACAGGGATGGAGAAACCTGGCCATCTTCCCAGCAAGAAGTACTGGTATTAGGATATGCCTTGGATCTGTGCAGCTGTCCCCTTCCTCCTTTTCTGCCGGATATCCGGGTCAGAAAGGGCAAAAGTTAGTGACTCCTCTGTGGCTGTGCACTGTAAATAGCATGCTGAGCATAGAAGTTTTACAGACACAGTGTGTCTATGCATGTACCCAAGGGGGCCTGGATGTCGAACAACTTCTTAGCTAAGTGAACACACATGCAATCTAATCTGTTCAACAATGACTAGAGAAGCAGCCAAAGCTGCATTTTCTCTGGAGATCAGAAAGCTCTGCTCCTACTTGGTTTTCTGACTCAATTTCTTCAAAAAAAAAAAAAAAAAAAAAAAGGAAGACAGCAGCCAAGTCCTTCTGAGGACACACATAATTGCTCTGCATTTGTCTCACTTTTTTCAGTATTTATATGCAACTACTTCTATACAAACTGCGTTCTTGAATTGGTTTTAATGCCTGTATTCATGCCATGTGAATGTGATGCTACTTTTGTCTGCTCAGCAGGATCCCATTGGGCATAGCAACAGCAATCCTGCTATTTTACAGCGTGTCTGGTGTGTTCCAACTACCTCACCATTGTGGCAATGAGTTAGCAAAGCAGCTTTATACACACACACACGCATGCGCTAAATGCAGTTGTTTCAGGGAAAGGCCTTATGCCAATTAGCAAGGTGGAGGGCTTCTAAAAATCTCAGTAGCATGGAAGCCTTTTATAAAGCTTCCCATTACTGCAGGGCTACTGCTGTGAAATATGACTATAAAATTGGCTTTGGATAACACAGGTGCTTCTGGATAATGCAGGGAAGTAGTATTCGAACAAGGCAGGAAGAAGGCTCCACAAGGCAGTGCAGGCAAATGTTAGATTATGGCAATAATAAGATACCCCAGACTAGTACAAAGTACTCTGAGTATATAAGGTACCACAGAATCCTTCACTGAAATAGTATCTTGGCAATGCAACTATAAGATGTCACAACATTCTATTATAATAATACCAGGATAATGTAGCAATAAAGCAACACAGGACACTGAAGTAAGGTAATATTTGGATAATGTATCAGTAAAGTGCCATTGGGATGCTGCAGTAAATTAGCTTGGGGATAATGCAGTAATAGCGTGTGCCAGGAAACTGTGATACATTAGGAGCAGGGTCGTACAGCACTATGGCACCCCAGTATGTTTCAGTAAGAAGATGCTTCAGTAAGTAATAGCAAGATAAAGAGTAGCAGGATGCTGTAGTAAAATATCACACTGCTAAAATGCTGCAGTTAAATACCACAAGATACTGTCAATGGACAATGTAGACAAAATGCTTCCACTCGAGACCACAAAAAAGTTGCTGCAAGATAACGAGAAATGTTTTAGTACTCTCTACAGTTGTTCATTTGTCACTTTGCTTTTAACGAAGCTGGAGTAGTAAGTAGAACTCCAACGTGGCACTCACTGCTATTGTCTGAAAATAAACGACTAAACTCAAAGTGTCTGAGCAGCTAAGTTCTTGTAAGCCATATGCTCATATTCAGGTAAAAGTCCCACAAACTTAAATGGGGTCTTTGCCTTGATAAGGGCTTTGGGATCCGGTTCTTTGATTCTTTTGGTTGAGTGGTGGGGTTTTGCATGAAATTATTGAATTCCTGCAAACAGCAAGATACTGAATATGAATTTTACTGTTCTGCTTCCTGAAATGCACAAATAAAATGAGCAGCCTGGAAAATTGAATCCTGCTCACTTACTTGCATGCATGCACATGAGCCATGCACCTCTGTCTTTTTTCTGACTGAGTCTCTATGGACTATTGAGCCTAATCAGGGTGAGGAGTCTGAACAGCAGTAGGTACGTCTAAACTACATCCCTTTATCAAAAAAGAGATGTAAATTAGACATATTGAAATTGTAAATGAAGCCGGGATTTGAATTTCCCGTGCTTCATTTACATAATGGTGACCGTGGCTTTTTTTTGAAAAGCCGCTTTTCGGGAAAAAAAACACAATTAAGACGGGGATCTTTCGACAGAAATGGCCTGTTTCGAAAGATCCTCTAACCTGAGGATCTTTCAAAACGGGCCATTTCTGTTGAGAGATCCCCGTCTTAACCGTGGTTTTTTTTCAAAAAGCAGCTTTTCGGGAAAAAAAGCTGTGGCTGCCATTATGTAAATGAAGCATGGGAAATTCAAATCCCGGCTTCATTTACAATTTCAATATGTCTAATTTACATCCCTTTTTCGATAAAAGGATGTAGTTTAGATGTACCCTGTGAAAGGCATGGGTATGCATCTCCCCACTGAGTCTGGTCTGGATTCCCTGCATAGCATAGTGTTTCCTGTTTTTTGTTCTTTTTTATTGTTTATTCCATTTGTGCATTCTGTATTCTTGGATGCAATTGTGACATAAATTTGCCACAAGGTACTGTGTTTTATGTGGGGCGACTAGACTATGAATCCATTGCTGTGTCTGCACCATTGGGCTAAACACTTCTCAGACTGTTGCTCATCGTACCAGACAGAGACATCACATGTAAGGAAGTGCTCATAAGAAACGAAAGCAAAGACAGCAAGACTCAAGCAGTTTGAGTATGAGATAAATAGATTGATGGTCTCTTGGGGAAGGAATTGGGGCTTCACAGCAAGGTATTGAATAGCAGGGACAGAGTACAGCTGGTTATGGCTCCATGAATCAGTCCCAGTGTCAAAGTCCTGCCATTTCTTCCTGTCCCTACACACAATAGTTTCAGTGTCACTTTGTGTAGCTTCTTCTTCCTAGATGATACAGTTAGCTATAAATGGCTTGATTCATGATTTGGCTCGTGTAGTGATGTCTCA